TAAGGTTTTGAGTCTTTGGCTTGGAGTTCAGAGTCTGAACAAGTGGAGGGATCGGACGCTTTCAAGCTGTGACTTTCGGGGTTGAAACTTTAGGGCCACGACTCTCAGTCCTCATCCCTTCTTGTAAGGTCCCTGGCATAGATCTCGGGATTCCACCGAAACAACAAGACCATCTGAATCCTACAGACTACACCCAAAACGTTAAGCTCAACTCTCAACAGGCCACTCCTGACGACGATCCCGGAGGAAGAGAGTTCACTTCACGCCTTTTTACCCTAAACCCTAAACCCTAGGAACTCAAGCTATCCACAGCCCATCCTAGGTGGTAGGCTTTGGTGGCTGAAGGTTTGAGGTGTAGGGCATTATGGTTTAGGGTTTAGGGTTCAGGGTTTAGGCTTAAGGCTTTAGGGCTTCAGGGGCTTTGGGGCTTAGGGTTCAGGGTTTAAGTGTGTACTTGCGGGTCAGGCTTTGGGGTTTAAGGGTTTAGGTTTAGGTTTAGGGGCCCTTCGCTGCCACTGGTGAATTTCGTTCGCGACACCGTAAGTGAAGCGAGAAAACTGAAAACGCAAGCCACGACAACGCATCCCAACGTCAGCAAGGATCCGATGGTAGATAAACCCTTACCCCTAAGCCTTAGGGTTTAGGGCTTAGGGGCAAAGCATCCCCGAACCCAACCCCCTAATGGCCCTAATCCTTTTGGTTCACTTCGCAGGAGCTTCCAGAAGCTTTATGAGCTTATCGGCACAGCCCCGAGCGACGGGCATCAGCTCCTCGCAGAAACGCGCTGGGGATCGGGGGTTGAAGGGTCAGGAGATTGGGCTTGGGGCTTTAGAAGTGTAGAGGGTGCAGGGGCTTATGGCTTATGCACCCAAAGCACCCTCAGGAACCTCATCTCAAACCCCAACAGAAACCCTAAACCCTAACTCCCCAAAAACCCACACTCAACCCGAAGCTCCATCCCACTGTCAGCCTCTACGCTTTCTGAGCCCTCAACACTGCAAGCCCCACACGCTGCCACCAAAACCCAAAAGGCTACCAGCGTAACATCCCCTAAACCGCCCCTCAAACTCCAAACAAACCCCCTCTCCCCGCCCCCTTTAGCAAGAGATGCACACCAAAAACAGGGGGGCCTCTAGGAAACGGCTCGCATCTGCTCCACCACCCTGAGGCGGCGCGGTTGAAGATGCGGAGCCGACAAACATTGAGGGTGCCTTCTCGGGGTCTTGTCTGTAGGTGGCGAAACATGTATGTATTTATGTATGTATGTCTGTATGTCTGTATGTCTGTCTGCATGTATGTGCATGCATGCAACCCTACTTTTTAAGTACCCGTGAATTGAAGCCACGGAAGAGGCCAGCTATCCCTGCAAAGGCAGCACCCTTCACGTCCTCAATCTGGCCCCCCAAACCCTAAACCCTGAAGCCTAAACCCCTTCACCCCTGAACCCTTAACCCTGAACCCGAAACCCTGCAACCGGAGCTTCAAGGCGCCTGGTGAAATACTAGCCACGAGCCGTTCACGTTGCACAGCGAGGCGGATGCGCCGAGGCCTTTCGCACAAAGGCTCGGACCGCAAAACCCGAAACTGATCCTAACAAAGTATCTGCAAACCCGAAAACCTTCAAAGAACCCCGCCCCCCCCCCCCCCATCCAAAAAAAGAGTAATAACAAAATGAAAATGAAAATAAGATATCATAAAAACAAAAAAGAATTAAAAAAAATAAGAAAATAAAGAAACTGAAAACCCTCAGTACCCTAAACCCCAAGCCGGAAAGCCCGAGGAGCCAAACCTCCCCCCTTTCCAACTCGAAACACGCCAAAGAACAACAAAAAAAATGACTCAACATCCTGAATCCTGAGACCCCAAATGCCCTCAACAAGCAAGAACCTCCGAAATAAAAATCAATGAAGCCTCAAAAGAAACAAACAGCTCGTAACCCCCACAGGAACCCGGTGAAAACCCAGCGCGCATCTCCCCTGTCCCCTCAACGCTGGAACGCCGGGTTTCTAGTGTTCAGGGCTTAGGGCTTAGGGTGCTCGACCCCTGTCCCTGGTCCACAAATTGAGGGACTGTGTTGTTTCGGCCTTTGTTGGGGGCATGAAACCAAAGCAGGATGAGCATTTTAAATGCTTGCGCTTGTAGGGGTGTTTGCTAGGGTTTCGGGTTTCCGTAGTCTTTGGGTTTAGGGTTTAGGGCTGAGGGCTGAGGGTTTAGGGCGCTTCGGCCAGTTTAGGGGTTCAAGGTTCCTTGCCTTCCTCGACTGCACAAGGGTCCAGCACCCACTGCCCTCCAGGCCTCACTTTCCATCAGTCTTGGGCTTCAGTTTCCCTACGTAGGGTTTTTGTTTCAAACCCTAAACCCTAAACCCTAAACCCTAAACCCTAAACCCTATGTAGGGATCTAAGGGGTTTTGAGGCCTGGCGTGATTTTTCCTTGCGTGCGCCAGGAAGACGGGCTTGAGGCTTCGGCATGATATCACACAAAGGCTCTAAACCCTAAACCCTAAACCCTGAACTCAGGGTGGAGCCTGTATCTGGGGTATTGGAGATGAGTCGTGATTCAGAAGTCTTGGGTTCGAAGGGAAAGTCTATTGATGTTGTTGAGACCCCCGCAACCTGCGAGTGGGCCCTGGCTCTACCGACACTTCTCTGTGATAAGATTAATCCCCTGCCCTATTAGCAACTGCTGGTGCTTTGAGAAAAGGGTGCCGCAGCATGTATCACGAGAGGCCGCACGATGTCCATGTGAGTTGCTGTCTTACCTGGACACTGTGTTCGTCGTAATGGTGCTCTCTCGCTCTCCCTGTCTCTCTCTCTCGCTCGCTCTCTCGCCTCTCTCTCTCTCTCTCTCTTTTTCCTACCGTTTAACTGCACAAGCCTTGAACTCCTGAACCCAACTTGGCTAACCCTAAGCTCCCCCCCCCCCCTAAGCCCCCAAAAATCTTGAAACCCAAACCCCAGAAACCCTCCCTGGACGCCCTCTCAGCCCCCTGGCATCTGCGCAAACGTCACTGGGAGGGGCCGTGACAGGAAGGTGACGGATCGAGCCTGCGCCGAGAGCACGTGAGGGCGCATGGAGGGTGAGAAGGGAGGTTCTATGTCGTAGGTTCCCAATGTAGGGTTTAGGGATTTTTTTTTTGCTACGTGCCCTGCGTGCTTGTTTCTGTTCGCGCTGGCTTAGGGTTTAGGGTTTAGATACGGTTTAGGGTGCAGGATGAAACCGGCACGAATGGGATCTTAGCGGAGCTGAAGGGGCTCTCCAAGGCTTTTCAGCTTTTTTGTTATCTTGCAAGTTCAGCTCCTGAACCCTTCCCAACCCTTCCCAACACTTCCCAGGCTTCACTTGGCAACAAACCCACGAGCACCCTAATACCCAAGCTTCGAGCGCACGCCTTTACCACCAATTAAGGCAAACAAGGCTTCAGGGGGTCTTCCAGCAAGCTGACTCGTTTCCCGGGCTCACGTACGCTGCAGGCTCAAGGTTTGGGCGGGTTTGCTGGTCGGCCGCTCTCCGGCGTCTTTTTTCTGGACCCGCGGCCGCCTTTTCCGCATAGTTGCCTAAAAGCATCGCCTGGACCGCCGACGTGCGTGTCTGCGTGTCCGTGGCTTGGGCCGGCCGGGCAGTGCTGACAAGTATGGCTCTAAGAGTGCAGCAAAGTTGTCAGATCTAACGGGCTTAAGCCCAGAACTAACACCGCAATCCCTGCACCCTAATGGGTCCAGGGCTGCATATTTCACGATTCAAGACCAATGCAATTCTGGGTGTTGGGGTTTAGGCAGGCGGCCGATCCGGGGATCACCTTGGCACGCCACCGAAGTTTCAGGTTTCACTGCAGGCTTTAGTATAGAGTTCTTAAGGGAGGGGGGGTCAAGGGGCTATGTAACCCAAGGTCTCCCCACTACTCCCCACTACTCCCTAAGGCTCCCTAAGCTTCCCGAGGCCCCTCCCTATGCCGCAGCCAGAGCTGACAAAAGTAGGGCAAACCCCGAAGCCCCAAACCTCAAACTTCGTCCCAAGCCGGCCCACGAACCTAAAACCCCCCAAACTTGACAAAACCACGGCCCAAAATACAAAACGACCCCCCGAAAGAAAACCAACCCTAAACCTCCTAAGCCCCTATAATAGCCCCCAAATCCCCTAAACCCCCTAACCCCCGAAACCCCCTCACCCCCTAAAACCCTAAACCCCCTTAATACCCCCTAAAAACCCCTAAAAACCCTAAAGACCCCCTAAAAACCCCCTAAACCGCCTAAACTAAACCCCCTAAACCCCCCTAAGCACCTAAAAGCTCGAACCCCACGCCCCCCAAACCCGGAGCCTCCGCCGCGAGCTCCTGGGCTGATGGCCCAGCCTCTACCAGTCGCCCAGCCTCCTCACAACTTTCAGCGGTTTAGGGCTTAGGGTTTAGGGTTGAGGGTTTAGGGTTTAGAGTTGAGGGTTTAGGGTTTAGAGTTTAGGGTTTAGGGTTTAGGGTTTAGGGTTTCGGGGTTCGGGTTTAGAGTTTAGGGTTAGGTTTAGGGCTGCTGCTGCTGCTGCTGCTGCTGCTGCTGCTGCTGCTGCTGCTGCTGCTGCTGCTGCTGCTGCTGCTGCTGCTGCTGCTGCTGCTGCTGCTGCTGCTGCTGCTGCTGCTGCTGCTGCTGCTGCGGGGACTGCGCTCAAGTCTCTGACGTCTGGTACTAACTACAATCTGGCTTAGGGTTTGGGTTTAGGGTTTTATCAACCCCCTGAACCCCTCAAAACCTAAACTGCAGACGATCCGCGTGACACTAACACCCACAGACCCATGAAGTGAACATCCCCCACCCTCAAAAAGGGGTCCCTAAAGCCATAAACCCTGAACCCTAAACCCTAAACCTCAAACCCCAAACCCCAAACCCTAAACCCTAAACCCTAAGAAGGAGTCCTGCAGTGTGGGCTGCACCAGCGCTGGGAGGCGAGTGTCCTCTTTTTCACAAGCGGGGGGGGGGGGGGGGGGGGGTAGAGGGCTCAGGGTTGAGGGT